TAAGTTGCCGTCGTAAAAAGTCAGCTTGTCTCCAGGGAGTAATTGATGTTTCAGAAAGGATAGCTGAAGGATACTTTCATTTCTTGTTGTATTTGTTATATTAAATGTCTGCAATAAAATAAAATATATACACATTTAGTATAAATACAGTATTGTTTATTGATATATTAACTTGTTAAGCTGCAATGCTCCCAAATGTGCCAAATTTAGTTTGTTATTGTAACATGTCTAATGGCAGACGATTTCATTCATTGATGGGAATTTGTGCTGGGTATTATTAGGTTAATGGTATATACTTGACTGTATTTATTTATGAGAATATTTAATAATTGATTAGGTCACCTCTTTAATACAAACACCTGTTTACCCCTTTAAGTGGAAATGCACCCTGATGAACCAACTTTATTATTTTACTCTCACTGTCCAATGCCCAACGATTTCACTCGCTATGTAGGGATTGTATTACAGTCAATGAGTTAATATGGACAACTGAGCCCTTAAATACAGAGTGAGTGACACTTTTCTAATAGAGATACTTCTTTAATACAAGAAATAGCTCTCTAATCCAGATAGTTCTCTATATACTTTAATAGTATGGGCATCTTTCTAATACAAACACCTCTCAAATATGAATAACTCCCTAATAACTGAACAATCAGCCCATTAAATGCCAGCGCTCTCCCCTTGACAAGTAAAATCATCTGGTTTTAGACAAACAGTAAAACAATAAAGTAGGTCACATCAGGGCACAATGCAACTCAATGGACTACTCTCCCCTTCACAGAGTAAAATAATAAAGTAGGTCACATCAGGGCACAAATGTGACTCAATGGGTTAACTAGAAACATGAGCAGATAGGCCAGTCAACCCATTAAGCACCAATACTCTCCCCTTGACAAGTAAAATCATCTGGTGTTAGACAGAGTAAAATAAAGTAGGGCGCATCAGGGCGCAATGCGACTCAATAGGTTTAACACCTCGCCAATGTAGACACCTCTCTTATATAGACACCAGTCTCTAATACAGACACCTCTCTAATGCAGACACCTCTCTAATGCAGACACTTCTCCAATACAGACACTTCACAAATACACTCTACAGACGCCTCTTTAATACAAGTATGTCTCTAATGCAAAGACATGGTCACCTCTCTAATATAAACCAACTCTCTACTATGGACACCTCTGTAATACACACACTCTCTAAAACTATCTCTCTAATATGGACACCTGTCTAAGGGCATTTCAAAGGGCCTTTCAGAGGTCCTTCACTTGAAACGTTGAAGGACATTTGCATTTTCCAGAGTATAGTTGTATCCCGACCAATGAAAACTTGTTATTATTGGTACTAACTGTCTAATATGGACACCTCTCTACATTTCAATATCCCAAGATACATAATTCTAATACTGCATACTTAAATTGTTTAATTTAATTTACCAAAAACTACTGAACAGTATAAAATGGACAGCTATCTAATATAAACACAGAGTTTGCTGTGAACTGACCCTTCAATCTAACAAATACTTTGGTATATTTTACATATTGAGCTGAGGCTACTGAGCACCAACTAAGTGCCCTTGATTGCCTAACAAAGTGTTTAGCATCATTATAGTAAGATACTGTAGCTACTGAGTAGACTATTAGCCCATATGTTAGTAAACAGCTATTTTAGCCTAACTAAGCAATGTCAATTAATTATGTACACTTATGCTTCTTTCTTAATTTTCTTTATTATCTTAAAAGCTTGGCCTCATACAGCAAATAGTTCTTTCATTAAAAGAAAATGTACAGGCTGGCTTTGCCATTACTTTGAAGTTGGAGCAGCCCGACTTTATTTTTACTGATCAATGGTGAGGTTCTATCTATATCTTTGCACAATACCTCTATTGTGTACATTTTTGAGGGTCCAGTGACTTTTTCAGCATTCTGTATCTGTATCAAAAAAAGGGCACGAAGACGTATTGGCTTCGATGTACCTATAACATACCAAAGGAAGATTGTTGCTAAATATGGTAGAACACTCACATATATTATATAGCTGCAATAATCATTAATGTACTTATGTACAGTTACTGTAGTTTTATTTTGATAATTAGCAAAATCATCTGAGGGTAAACAGAGTAGAGTAAAATGACAAAGTAAGTAGGCTGTGGATGTTTTCTAGAATTCATGACTGATATTGCGGACTAGAGTAATTATTGGTCATTTAAAAATTTATTATCTATTTAAAAGACTCATAGTTCCCGATTGGCTAACCTAAGACTCATAGTTCCTGATTGGCTATATTAAGTATGCAACAGAGTGATGAACATAATAACATATTGTATATGAAAAGATCATGACAGGATTCGAAATAACGTTCTGAAAATATGTCAAATTTTGTAGGCTGTTTTTGTAGGTGAAAATTTTTGCTGGCTGTTTTCCAAGAAAAGGTTAGTTATGTTCTGAAGTGGGCATAGGCAAAATAATAGTGATGTAAACCAACACAACATTTGTAAGAACACATGACAGCTAGCATTTTATTTGGTGTAGGAGCAATTAAACATTAACAACTTCTGTGTGAATCAGTTCAAAACAATAAGAAAATATTGTTTTTTATACAAAAAGTTTAAGTTTGGTGCCTATAAGGCAATTCCAGCTTTTAGTTTATGAGTGCAGGGGACGATGGAAAGTAAGGTATCACATTGCTGATTATGCTGAAAAAAAGATCTAGTGGCTGTGTAAACACGGAGTGATAGCTTATACTTGTAAATATTGAAATATTTCCCCAATCGGTTGTTTCGGTAGTTTTTATTGAAATTTTTCAGCATAATCGCGAATATGACACCTTACTTCCCATCATCCCCTGCAAGCATAAACTAAAAGCTGGAATTGCCTATTAAGCTAGGTTCAATAAATCTAGTGCTATATTAATAAATTTATAAATACGTCGTAAACGACTAAAAATCCATGACTGTTTACAAAATCTGGTCCTCAGTGACAGTTCATTTTGGATTCCTCTCACTATAGGCACTATACAGTCGATGTCATGATAATATTTAAATAATTATACAACTGTTAATTATATGTATGTGTTATTGTATTAAAGCGAGTCATCGGTGAATAAAACTGCCGGCTATCGCCGGCAGCTATTTCGAACCCTGTGACATGAAAGAAAAGATTTGGGAAATAGAACTCGACATTATTTTCGTTGACAAATTGAACCCATAGGTGCAGATGCATGTCTTAGTCATCTTGTAAATAAATAATAAAACAATTATTGAATTCAGTTTTCGCCAGATATAAAGAATTATCAAGCCCTTATAAATTAGTTTGTGTTATCAACCTCAACCTCCTGCTTCGGTTGATAACACAACTTCCGGCTTGATAATTCTTCACATCATGCTCAACCTCATTCAACAATTGTTAATCCTCGAGCCGACGGCGCGGAGCGCCGTGCGAGGGTACTAATTCCCCTCGGCTATTTATACCCGGGGAAACGAAAGCATTAGGGAAGTCTAAAGTTCATCAATTATCGCGGGCGTGGGCACAGAGTAGAGACATATAGAGACGTAACTGACCGTTGTAAACACTGCGGAAGATTACGTTATCATGTACCCACTTTCTTTCAGGCGACCGGGCAAAAAATGATCAACTGCACGTGCTCAGCAAGTTTAAAGTCAGTCGTCTCAAGTCGTCATCCAATCCGATGCATGCATCTAGTAACTTGCCAAACATGCGCACAAAAAAAGTGGGTGCACTAGTTATGTCTCTGTATGTCTCTACTCTGTGGCGTGGGTGACCAACCATGGGTGGTCATCCTCACTGATCTCAAAAATATGGCGGACTGTCATGAATAGCGGACACTGCATGATTGGTCCAATTTAAAGTTTGCATTATAACGCCTGCATGACGACAGCGAAATAGCAAATATTTCTTGATTTGGTGATTGATGAATTTTTTGCTCGAATTTTTGCAAGATTTTGTAAATATTGTAAAGATTTTGTAAAGTTTTCTCCTAAAGAAAGGGCGAAAGAATCGGCTAAAAGAAAGGAGCCGACGTTAACGAAGGTCAGTTTGTTTTAAATATTGATTTTAATGGATTTAAAACCCAACGGCTTTTGCGTATATGAAACAACTAAACAAAACAGCATATAATTTCAGTGTATCTTTAATATTGATTCCCTTTTTTATTATATTGAATTTTTTAAATAAAAAGAAAGCAAAGTTATTTGCAAGCGAGAATTTGGAATCATTTTATTGCAAACTCAAAGTTTATCGATAAAGCCATTTAATTAAAGGCTGTTTTAATAGTTTTATAAAGAACACTTTAAAACGTTTTGTGAAGCGTTTGTGGTTGAATTTTACCTTAAATTGAAGCTTATATTACGTATAATAACATACCTAACATATATATGTTGGGAAATTGATAATTTTGTAATTAAAAGTGATATTTTTAGGCAATTTGTAAGAATATTCTTAAGAAATTATCGTGTTACCATGACAACTACTCTGGATACTTCATGTTCGGAAAATACAATGATTTTGTCAGCAAGGCGAGGGTTTCTGCATGCATGTATTTTCTAGTAATTATAATGCATAGCTGCCACAGCACCCATGCAGTGGCAAATTTCTTCCATTTTTAAATTCACCTTTACTCAGACAAGCATCAAGTGAAATGTCTTAATTAAACTTGCATTTGTATATTAACCAGACTATATATGTCATGTCTTAATTATGTTACCCTGCACAGGCCAGCACGTACTCTCCCCTTCAGAAGTAAAATCGTCTGGCATTACGCAGTCAGAGTGGAATAATCTGGCCTTATAGACAGACTTTTTTATTGAGTATAAACGTTCTCTGGTTATAATTACTTATTTTTTACAAGCTTTCGACTGTCAGTCTACAGTCTTCAATGGGTAGATAATTATAATAATCTACCTGTTGAAGATTGTCGGGTAGATTATAATTATCTACCCATTGAAGACTGTAGACTGACAGTCGAAAGCTTGTAAAAAATAAATATTATAACCACAGAACGTCTATACTCAATATAAATAATCATGGTTTCGCATCAAACATATTTAAAAGACAAACTTAACTTTTATAGAGTAAAATAATAAGGGGTGGACCATTAGAAAAATGATGGGAGGGCAGACCTCTCAACTCTCACGCATTCGGCGTGAGTCTCACGCAATTCGCTTCACTCTCACGCTCTCACGCCACGTTTAGTAAATCTCACGCATATAGCAGTTTCATAGTATTTTTTCAATAATATAATATTGTATCTTAATAAATGCACATTATTAATCATTATATGGATTGCGAGTCGAATATATAATCGCGTGTTATTGTTCCTGCATATATACGGCCCGACATTTTGCCCGCAATTTGGATAGAAAATAGTACGCATATGTAAAAATGGCGGAGACAAAAAGCAGAATCAGTCCGAGCAGAAATTTAGAATTATATATGTAAACTATCAAAGGCAAATTAAAGCTCATTACTGTATGTCACAGAAATACAGTTATTGTAACTAAAGTGCCTTGTCTTTTAAAGGACGTTATGAAGCAATGTATTTCATTAAAAACACCAACTCTCATAATGTACGAAATGCCATTTCAGACCCCAGGACGTTTACAAAGGTGTCATCCACATCCCCAATCTCACTCTTAACTTCTCTGCAAAGTTGAGAGGTCTGGGAGGGGGACTTTTTTAACTCGTACGAATATTTTTTTTTAATTTTTTCCTTGTGTCAATAATTTTTTTAAATGTAATCCCTTGCACAATTTTTTTTTATTTCACCTTATAATTTTGCCTATTGAAAAGTCTCTGCACAATTTCTTTTTCAAATATTTTTGGTGCAAAAATTTTTTTACTTCTGTTCCCCCAGCGCGATTTTTATTTTTGCTTTCCCCCAGCCCCATCTCTTTTCTAATGGTCCGCCCCTAAAGTAGGGCATGTTGTGGTGCAATGTTTAATAATTAATCAGTCAACTACAATCCTGGACAAAATATATGGCAAAAATGTCATTCTATTTCCCTTCCCCCAATATCAATGTTGTTTGCGCCAATACACCTGTTTTTCCCTGAAGATTTAACCGAAAATAGCAACATTGATATAGGGGGAGGGACGAGAGTGCCTAAGATTTGATATAAAGTAGACATCTGCCTATATGACGGAAAATAAGACAACAGAACAAGAAAGAATAAGATTAAATAAGTTTTGCCAAAATATTTTGTCCAAGATTGTAGACACATGGGCAGATTAATCCATTGCATGCCAGTGCTCTTCCTTTTGAAGAGTAAAATTGTTTGGCACTGGATTTACTAAACTAATACAGTGGGGTGCAGTGGCGCACAATGCAACTTAATGAGTTATGCACCAGTCAGTGGAATGCCCCGGACCCCACTACCCGGGGAATGCCGCGGAATAGCGGGGAATTATTGAGCGATTGAACCTTATATTCGGCCACGGTACACAGGGATTTAGACTGTATTAGTTATGTGTATCAGGTACCGGGGACTTGGCGGGGCTTATATCGGGGATTAGACATAGCCGCCATCTTGAAAACGAGAAAGGACTTGGAATAAGCAATGAAAGCGAACTGATAATTTTGCGAACGAATTGACAATCTCTTGTGTTATTAGGTCACCGTTTTATTTTCTTGAAAGTTATTGCAAACCGTTTAGATGTTCCATTTTTTTAAGCATTCAGTATAGACCATAGATATGACTTAAATTTTAAGTAGAAAGGGAAAGGCCCAGTTTTTAGGGGCCCCGAACAATGAGCAAAACCAAATTGAACTGAAAAGAATCCAGTTTAATAGATATGCGAAATTAAGTACGAATAAGGTAGTATTTATCAAAATCTCCTTTAGATTTATATTCGTTTTAGATATTGTATGTTGGGCCCAGGGCTCGACCGGGGCCCCGGCCCCGGCCAAAATTGGCACCCCCGGCCCCGGCCAAAATTCTGGAAATTTGGCCGGGGATTTCAAGCTCAAATTTGTCAAATTCTTTCTATTATTGTCTTATAATTGTCAAGATTCAGGTGAACCTTAGCAAAACTAAAAACTAGTAAAAACGTAGTAAAAACGTAGTAAAAACTAAGTAAAAGTTAAAACAGTTTAAAAAAATCGACAAAATTATATCGAAAGCAACAAACAGAAAAGATACGTACCATTTATTAGTGATGGGCGATACTATCGAAAAAGTATCGAAATCATCGATACTTACAAAAGTATCGATACTTTCGATACTCGCAAAAAGTATCGGTAATTCGATACCACTTGAGCCTGCGATGTTTTTGGTCAGTATTCCTGACCAATTACTTAATGCTTCATGAAGGCAACAGACTGAAGGCCCCTGAAGGCAAAAAATGTTGACATGATGCTGTTCTTAAACAAAAACATGTAGCTAATTAGCAATATATTTGAGGAAAACATTGTTGTTTTGATTTAAAATCATAATTGCAAATGTTATGTTCGATTATTTGGCAGGTACTCCAGTTAGAGTATTCTTTGACTTGTTTTAAACATTAATGTTCGTGTTTTAAAAGTTATTTTAATAAATGGAAAAAATTGAGTATCGGTATCGATTTTGGTATCGGTATCGACCAAAATTCATGGTATCAGACTGGTATCGTATCGAAACCAAAAAAGCTAGTATCGCCCATCACTACCATATATTCCTCGTAAAATGTTTCCAATATGGCTTACAATAGCAATAAACCGCTGTCCAGTAAATTCCACTGGCCTTTCCAAATCCCACTTAAATAACATCGCTCAACATCACATAATATCAATGTTCGACCAGTCCCCGGCCCAAATCATGCATCCCCGGCCCCGGCCCGGCCCCGGCCAAATTCATGCCCCCGGTCGACCACTGATTGGGCCCGGAGAGCGGGGACATTATTTGCGTTTAGGCAAGTGAGAGTGGCGTATAGCGGGGAGTTAGACTGAATTAGAGCAAGGTCTTGGTCTAATGCCCCGCTGTTCCCCGGGTAGGGAGGTGCGGGGTATTCCACTGACTGGTGCATTAATAAATTATTAAAACAAATCAATATTTAACTATAAATAAGACTAATAAATTAGAAATATCACACAATACCTTTAACTGTTAATAAAAATGCTGTAAGAAGGCATAGAATATAAATGACCTTTACTACAATCCTTGAAAACATTGTATTATGATATACCAGCACAAATTTAACATCAGTCTATAGAAGAAAATAGTAAAATACAGCAACCTTGAACGTTGACACCTTGATCACAAAATTTAAAAATTTTGCAACAAACCAGCGTTTGAAAATGTTATTTCATCTTCTGCGTCTGTACTTATGTAGCATTTTAACAATGCATTCATACCGGATGCATGCTTTCTTCCTTTTGACGTAAATTAAAACCCTCGCCATATTCTTTGTTTTGACCTCCTTCGAGCACGAAAATGACGAAATAGCAAGCCATGCATGCACTCTTTTCCATACCTCAAAAGTGGGCCATTAAAGAAATAACAAATATTGTCGTTGGTTTATGACGTTTATAGTTGAAAGTCAGAGAGACAAGCAAGAAACGGCTTCTTTTGTACGTTGAAATTGAAATTATTTGAAAGTTCGATTGGCATCGGTGGTTTTTGCTGTAATTTTGCAAGCCAAAAATAGCGGAAGTTATGACTATGCAATATAGTCAATTTCTAACTTACCGGTAGTCTTGCGTCATAGTTCTTGGGTGTCAAATGACGTCACAAAAGTGACGGGGGGTCAACTTGGGTCAACTGTTATCAGAGTGAAGGTTCAGACCAGGGTCCAGACACACCGGACGCGATTCGACAACGCGACGCAATTTTTTAGTTTTTGAAAGTTAATAAAACAACCAATGAGAGCAAATTTTGAAAGATATGTAGACCAAATAACTCAAAATGTTATAGCGCTTCTAAATATTTGGAAAATTTAAACTAGAATCAAAGTTATCGGTCAGTGAAAATCGAAAAAACGCGTCGCGTTGTCGAATCGCGTCCGGTGTGTCTGGACCTTTAGTCGATTGTTCGTTTTATGTATTAAGGCCCACACAGAGCGGACGCGATTCGGCAACGCGACGCGAATTTTCAGTATTCAAAACAAATAAAACCGTCAACGGATAAAAATTTTACAAGATATGCAGACCAAATAGCTAAAATTGCTCAAGTGGTTCCGAATATTTGAAAAACATTGAAAAATATTAAAGTTAAATGCCATTGAAAACTGAAAATTCGCGCGCGTTGCTAAATCGCGTCGGGTCTGTATCCGGCCTTTAACTGGTCCAGAGTCCAGACACACCGGACGCGATTTGACAACGCGACGTAATTTTTTGATTTTCACTGACCTGACTACATTTTCCAAATGTTTAGAAGCGCTATAACATTTTGAGTTATTTGGTCTACATATCCTTCAAAATTTGCTCTCATTGGCTGTTTTATTAACTTTCAAAAACTAAAAAATCACGTCGCGTTGTTGAATCGCGTCCGGTGTCACAGCGGATTTGGACCCCCCCCCCAGTAGATTTGGACCCCCCGGTCCAAATCTCCTAGTAGATATGGACCCCCTTTAGCGGATATGGACCCCCCTTTTTTAAACACCTTTATATACTAAAAACAACCCCAATAAAGGTGAATACTGGTATGTTAAATTCCGTGATTAGTTTACAGATACCCGGAGCTTCTTATCAACCACACATAGTCATTTATTGTGAATAGAAAACATTGTTTTTTATTGACAGTGAGATCGAAATTCAAAAATCTCGAACAAAATGTCCATCAAGTTTGTCGGAGTTACATGCAGTTAAAATTTTCTTTTGCTCGTCAACGTTAGGCACCCACCGTCGTCGCTCAGAGTTATCCACAGGGGCGTAGGAAGCTTCTAAAAGTTGGGGGGGGCAGGCTTTGAGGGGCACTTTTCGAAAAAAAAGGGCATTCAAAAATTTTTCCCCGGAAATGTTGGCGACGGGTGGGGGGGAGGTTATCTCAAAAAAATTTTCCGGACATACGAAAAAATTTTCCGGATATATCACATTTTTTCCGGATATACCAAAATAATTTCCGGATATAGGATATTTTTCCCGGAAATGAATAAAATTTTCCGGAAATAACATAGATTCGAGTTCTCAAACGTGCCCTTTGGGCAAAAATGCAGTCTTAATGACATTTTCACGCAAGAAAAGGGCACTTTGCTCCCGGAAAAAGGGCACTTGTCAAAACTTGGAGGGCCTGGCCCCCCTGGCCCCGCCCGGTTCCTACGCCACTGGTTATCCAATCCTTTATAAAAGTATAAAACAGCACACCATTCTCCAGGACAAACTTTTGGGATCTTTTCCGCAAGTTCCTATTCTGGTCTTTGTTGTAAAAATTGGGATACTCGTAGTTGGGATATACTCGCGAAGATAATGAAATACTTCTTCGTACGCAGTCAAATCAGCCATTTTGCGTTAAACAGAGATCACAGTTCTATTCGCGTTGAAATGGCGAATGACACTAAAACTCTGAAACATCTTTATAGCTGCACTGCAAGGCTACTGATGAGTCATCACTTATTGTTTAAAAATATTCATGGATCGCGTTGCTCTAATATGCTATTTCTATGGCTTTTGTTAAAAACCATTAGCAAAGTCAAAGACTCACAACCATCACTTATT